TCTGCTCGCCTAGAAAACAACTTGTCAGCATAGCACAGATACTATATACAAAGAAACAAAATGGAACCTCTCTGGCTCACTTCATAATTACAAAACCCATATGCCTTTAAAAGATTTTAACTCAAAAACCCATCTCATCACAGCGCCTGTCCCTGGGGTTCCTCCTTCGCCTTGGCAGGAGGCCTGGTTCCAGCGGTACGACGACCCGGGGGGGAAGAAAACCAGGTTCTTACTGTGGCCTCTTCTGCTCCTTCCCAGCAGGAGCCAGCAGCGAAAGTGAAGAAGAAATTATTTTTCTCAGGAAAAATAAGAGGAAAAGAAACATCTTGACATCCCCAGAGGTGAGCCATTCAGTTAAAATTAAATGCCTCTAGACTCCAAAAAAAACCCTCCTCTTTTCTTTGGAATCTGGAAACAGCTTTTGATGTGTTTCTTTTTCTCTCCCCCTCCCCAAGATCACCCCCAAGATGAATAGCGGTGATTTTGAATCGCCAGTTCATCCCGTCAAGAAGCAGAGGCGTCCCATCATTGTCGTGAGTAGCCGCTCTAACCTGTGGGTGGAGAAAAAAAAGCTGCAGACTTACCTTTACGGTTAGGAAAGTTATTCCAACAAAGTTGAACTTTTTTGAGCTGCAAGAGAGCAGGGATTGCTTAGCTTACAAACATAGCAAGAGCAAAATTGTGGGTCTTTTAAACTTTGTTAACAACCAGTTGTCCTAAAATTACCTCATATGTACTGTAAGTATGTAATTAGTTTACTCTCATACCACCCCTCTGGTGGGCAGCTTACAAAAGAAAATATAACAAAACATTCAACCCGAGATAAAATATGAGAGTAACAGAGCAAACATCAGATCGTAAAACAATATACCATAGACAAACCTCCCACAGATGGCAACAACAGATCCATTAAAAGTCACACAAAATTGGCATAAAAATGACAAGCCGTTTCTGGGGGAGGTTTCAGTTGCTTCCAGTTTCTTGCTTTTGTGGGAGGTGGGAGGCACGCCTTGGTCTCTGTGGCAGCTTCAGTTTTGTCTCGGCGCTCGCCATTCTCCGGCGTGGGGCTCCCCAGAACCCACGCCTTGTCTCGGAGGTGTCCATGGGCCTGTGGTGTCTCTGGCAGGGAAGGCGAGGGGGTGGCTGATGATGCGGGCCAGAGGGTCGGCCGCTCCCGGCAGTCTCTGCATTTCCTTTGCAGTCAGACCCCTCCAGCGATGAAAGCGACATCGATTTGGCTGAGAAACCCAAGCCCCAGCTGGGCGGCTCCAAGGACCGGGAGGGGAAACCGGGCAGAGGCGATAAAAAAAGGGGGAAGAGAAGGGAGAGTGGGGCGAACGAGGTAAGGGTCGTTGCCGGGGTCTCTGGCGTGGGTGGGCCGGTGGCCTTGGACGTCTCTTTGCCGAGGGAGGAGCAGAGGTCACGCTCCCGGATGGCACGAGGCCGGGCAAGTCCCAGGCAGCTGGTAAGAACACACGGCGGGCTTAGAAAAAGCCGGCCTGCCCTGGTGCCTCTTCCACCACTGAGGGAGGGGCCACCTCTCAGGTGCTGGGCTGGCCCTTAGCGCGCGGCGGTATTTCTGGCCGCTTCTCCCAGTTAGAAGGGGATGGGAACCGCCGGCCTGGCCTCCCTCCGAGCCCTCCAAGAGCCCAACCGAGGGACGTGGGTGGTAGCCCCCTGCCGTCTCTGATGGGGAAGGAGGAGTGCGGAAGGTACGCCAGGATGGGGAAATGTGGGGAAGGACCTCTTGGCCCTGTGGAGGGGAGAGGAACCCGATCCGGCGCTCAGAGGGGTCCACCAGGTTGCACCTCGAGTGGGACGTCCCTTTCGTCGGCCACGCCTGGAGACAGACACACACACGTCCCCCGAGCAGGCGCTGCCTGTGTTTGGCTGATTCTTGTTACTTGTGGATTTGAGGAGAGCCTGTCTTGGAGGGGGGGGGAGAGTCCACCTTTCTCCAGGGAAGCAACAAAAGAGCAGAAGTGAGGGAAGGTCGTCTGGGCAGAGGAGGGGCAGGATCTGTTCTCCACCCACCCCACCCCCCGAGGACAGGACACACAGCCATGGGTTCAGACTACAGAAAACCCAGATTTCAAGGGGGGGGGACTTCCTACCCGTTAGAGCAGTACGACAGTGGAACCCGGGACTTGGACAGGGTGTGTGTGTCTGCTCCAGTGCTGGAGGCCTTCAAGAGCACATTAAACAGCCATGCTGAGACTGGGACTCCCGCCTTGAGCAGGAGGGGGTTGGACTGGATGGCCTTGCAAGCCCCTTCCCACTCCCTCCAGGATTCTTTGATTCTAGGAAGGGAGGTTTGCCCTGCAGGGTGAAAACCTTTGCCCCCCAGCAAAGCCCTCTCCTGACGCAGCCGCTGTCTTGCTTGTCTGGGAGGGTGGCGGAGTGGAAACCTCATGGGTCCAAGGCCTCCTTCCAGGGAGGGAGGAAGTGGTGGGGAGGCCGATCTTTGCTGGATCTTTGGGGATTTTGTCCCAAAGCTCGGAAAAGCGACTCAAGGTTTTGGGCGAGAGGCGTCCCTGAGGCGGTGTGGCCTCGGTTTGCTCCGTGGAAAGCAACTCTTCGTGAAGCTCCCGTGGATGCCCAGGGGCGATCGCGGCTGCAAGGAAGCTCCATGTCCAGGATGAGATGGGGGGAGGAACGTAGACGGGCCCGGCTCTCGGCCGGCGGCTGAAAGAACTCCCTTTGCAACAGACGCCATTTTAGGCCAGCCCGTCCTGCCTGAAGCCTGTTGTGGTTGTCACCAGCGTGTTGCCTCTGGCCCCATCCTGCCTTTTCCTCACCAGGCTGGCTCAGCTCTTTCAGAGACTCAGCCGTGGCTTCCTTGGGAGAGTCAGTCCATCTCATACGTGGCCTTCCTCATTTCCCACTGTCTCCCACCCTTCCTGGCACGATGGTCTTTTCCAGAGGATCCTTTGCCTTCTCCTGGCCAAAGGAGGGCAGCCTCGGTTCCGTCGTTTTTTGCTTCTAGAGGAAGTCAAGGCTGGGTTCCTCTCTGGGGCCTGCGGGCGGTCTCTAGCCGTGGGACAGAGCGGAGTCTCGGGTGTTGAGTGTGGGTTGGCAGGAACCCTTTCGCTGTCGGTTCTTTTGCAGGCAGCGGCCAAGCATTTTATGGATGACGAAGCGGAGGTTTCTGCCCACGGAGCCTCCGAGGTCTCGTCGGACGAAAGCTCAGAACACGAACTCAGCTCTTCCCTCGTCCAGTTTCTGAACGATGAAACGGAGATCACGCAGGATCTAAATGGTATGAGCAGACCTTCCTTGACGCCATGGGGGGGCCGTCCCACAGATCCATTTGTCGGTCTTTCCGGCACCTTCTGGTCCAACCGGAAGCGCCAAAGGGTCCCCAAGCAGAAATTGAGTTCCTTGCCCTTCTTGTGCATCCAGTCCCTAAGTTCTGAAGAGCAGCTGGGAGTGGGAGAGAGGGAAGGCTCCGTGTGGTGTAGTGGTTAAAGGGACAGGCTCAGGAGGCCTGGGTTCAAATCCCCCAAGGCCGCCTTTCACGGTGGTGTGGAACTGGTGGCACCACTTCTGAAGCCCCTCACTCACTGGGAAAGCCTCCTTAGGGTTCCCAGAAGTCGGTTCCGATTTGATGGCACAGGAACAACATCAGGGAGTGGGGAGAGGGGGGGAAAGCCAGGACTCTGAGGATGGGGAGGCGCAGAGGAAGCCTAACTCTC